AACATCAATCAACATTGCCAATTCCAGCAGAATGTCCGAGAGATATTATTGATAAGTTACAAAGAAGCTATATAGGAGCTTACAAATATTAGTATGATAATTTGTAATTGGCTACTAAGAGGCCTAGTTCAAACAGAACCCTTCCTAGAAGGTGGTTGCGTAGATTAGGTGCTCTTCAAAAGAATTATATTTGTATTTGAGATTTGAAAGTTCTATTAATAAAATAAAAGGCTCTAAGCGTTGAATTTTATTTATGAATTGTCTTAGTTACTTAATAGTTAATACTTTAAAATTATATTAAATAAATTATAACTCTATTATAAATTTATAATTACTAGAATATTTCATTACAAGTCTTTTGTTTTAATATTTTATAATTCTTTACTTAGTTTTCTAATTTTCATTTTAACATAGTAACATTTAAGTTTATTAAATAAGTCAAAAATCTAGCTGTTGAAAACTTTAAAAACATAGTAAATTTCAAAAACTAGACGTTTTTTTTTAAAAAATATACACTTAAGGCCCACGAACCCGTCCCGTTCCGTCCCGTCCCATCCCGTCCCGTCCCGTTTGTTAGCGGGACGGGATGGGACGAACGTTTCATCCCGTTTGTCCCGTCCCGTTTCGTCCCGTCCCGCCTCCATCCCACTTAAATGTCGTCCCGTCCCGTCCCGTTAATTTGGTCCCGTCCTGTCTCGTCCCGTCCCGTTGGACAGCCATACCGCCCATATCCAGCCAACATCAAAAAATATTTTTAGTTTCTGTTTTTGATCTTTACTCATTGAGTTGGTCGGAGTCGAAAGTTGCTGTTTGGAGTCTCTGTTAGTGTCGAGCTGTCGTCGTTCGTGGTTCCGGTTGAAGTGCGGTTTGTGTTGCTTGTTTTGGTTTCACACGCTATTTGGATTTGCATAGGCGGATTCAGTTGTACCTCTTCAAATCATCCTATTTAATATTAAGGAGAGAAGTCCAATAGGTTCATCTCATTCTCTTTTCTTCTTACATCTAAGATCATGAATCAAATATTAGTGATGGGTGGAGTTTGTTGGTTCATATTAGTACTGTTGTTCCCTCTTTAGTTTCTTTTGATGAGTTTGTTTCTTGAAGTTTGAGTCATAGTTAATTTTGTTTGGGTTACATCTTGCTGCAGTACATCATGAGGACTCTTATTGATTGTTTAAAGTATTTGTCTCTGCTTGTGTTTGGTCTAGCGTTGAATTCGATGGTAATTTAGGGCTATAAAAATGATCCGATTTACTTGATTTCTAGCTGTGCTTCTTTGAAATCCGGGGAATTCAATCATCTTCGTCCATTATTTTGTGTTTTTGTGTTAACTGAGTTGGATTGGATTGGATCGCCGAGTTATTGGAACTAGGGATCTGTTGGATGTGTTGTTAAGCTTACCTCATGCTGCTTCTTTTTACGGTGCTTTGTGTTCTCGCCTGATACGTCAGCGTAGTAATATTTTTAGTTATGACCATAACAAATGAAAAAAAAGTCTTATTTGATAATTAAATAATACATAAGAAAATACTACATATTAATTAAAGCTTGGTAAGAGTTGGGCGGGTTGGCTATGACCCAAATCTAAACCCAACTTGACACCCCTATACGAGACCATAGTGCTTTGGGTGGTTGTCTCTGTTTCTATAATTATTTGTGGTTCAAAACAATTCTACTAGCATGGTGTGTATACTATTTGATAAAATTCAACAATTAAGACTCCATAAAGACTTAGTGGGCGTTTGGACTAAGAATTGTAAAATTCTAAAAAGATGGAAAAAAATCAAGTGAAAATGATATTTGAAATTTAGGGTTGTGTTTGGACATAAATATAATTTTGGGTTGTTTTGATGTTTTGTGAGTGATTTGAGTGAAAATTTTGAAAAACAACTTTTTGGAGTTTTTTCAAATTTTCTAAACTTTCCAAAATGCATCTTCAAGTAAAAATTGAAAATTTTATAAACAAACGCTCATTTCGAAAAAAGTGATTTTTTTTGGAAAAAAGGGAATTTTTTTATATGTCCAAACGGGCTCTTATAGTTTTCTAGTGAGTCTTCTCTTTCTTCTCCAAGCAAAACAATTCAACATTTTTCTAGGAAAAGATCAATTTAAACTTTTCTACTAAGCTTGTTATGTCTAAGGAAGTCATATCTTTATGACTTTTGTAGTCATCATGTCCTCTTCTGATCTTCAACTGATAAAGACAAGAACATGTGCTAGCACTTCGACGTTTATTACAAGCAACATCAATGTCATAACGGAAAATACTTACATGAACTCGATATTTATATCATGTTTATCGAAATCGAACTATTTAATTAACTTTAAAGGTTCTAATTTAAAGTGAGAATACATATCAAGTAATCGTTTATATATATTACAAATGTATCACATTAATTGATTTGTCGTAAATATCAAGTATAAGTATATTTTTTCCATATGTCAATCTGCAAAACCTCAAAAAGGAAAAATATAAAAGCATAGTAGCAGTAGATTAGAGAAAAAATTGCTCGTAGACAATATTTCTTATCAATTTGATTGACAAATCGAAGAGATTATGTAAATCCAGTTCGAATATTTTTGTTTTTTTCCCGGAGAAAGAGTTGATCGTGTTTTATGGAAGAAAGCCATGATTTATAGCTAGTTTCTTTAGGTTGAGGGGTATTTTTGACCGTAAGATTTATTAAACGCACATGTCATTTCCATGGACCATTTTTGTAATAATGTCCAATTTCAGAGATAAAATTTAAACACAAGATTGAAATTGCAAAAATATGATACTTTTTTGGGATGGTCTTTAACTTCTAATCTCATCTTGGCCACAAGGAGAACTTCAGCGCTAAAAATTAAAAAGTATTACTAATGGGATAATCGAAGAACAACACTTATTAAGCTTGAATTTTTTTTTATGATGAGATAAATATTCAAAACCATCAACTCTGAGGGCTATTTATGTGCTTCACCCCAAAAGAGTTCCTTTTGTGTCAACCTCCCCCCTCCTCCCCCCCTTTTATTTGGGAAACAGCCTCAGGGGCCGAAAGTTATGGCAAGTGCACAGATAGCCATTTATAGGGATGCTATTTAAAAATTAATCAGTATTTATTTTGTCATGAAATTTTAAACTAAAAATCTTAAATAACTCGACATATTTGTCCTGAAAAATTAAACTGAAAAACTAAAATTCAAGATGCATTGATTAATTCTAAATAGCAGCCCTTTAAAGTGGCTACATAGTGTCATTTCTACCGGAAAGTTCCACCAAGTTTCAAAACAGCCTTGCGGCCCAAGCAAGTAGCCCAACTAATTAGGGTAACAGAAACGCAACTCTTGCCCCTATCCAAATCCAAAAGAGAGAGCGAGCGAAAGAAAAAACTTGCATTTTCATCGGCTGTGAAGATAAACGAATCACTCGATTGAAAGGTTAGCTTCTGATCTATTTTTCTTATTGTTTTTTCTAGTTCTCTTACTTTTAATTAATGCTTGTATGCGGTAAAGCACATTAAATTCATGTTCCGTTTGCATATTTTGTGTCGATTAATTTGAAACAAGCTAAATTTTTGGAGCGATTGTTACAAATATTGTATTTACAGTTGTTTTTGAGGATTACGATTGTTTTAATTAGTGTTTATGTACTTTTGAGTATCTAGAAAAGCTAGTTATAAGGATTTAGGGTTTAGTTGCCTGCTATTACTCCCAATTAGATATATGTTCACTAATTTGTTGATTCATATTTATGCTTCGCTTACTTTGAATTAGTCCCTGTGTATGGATATTCTCATAAATTCATGTTTCTCTGTTTGTGGGAATTAATTTGGAAAAGGTAAATTTCTGGAGCAATTGTTAGAAGAATTATTTTCACCATTTTTCGATGATTGCGATAGTTTGAGTTAGTTTTTAATGTAATTCTGAGCATCTAGAAAAGCTAGTCTTTCCCAATTAGATATATGTTAACTGATTTGTTGATTTGTATTGGTTTAGATCTTAGTGCAGTCATGGCTGAAGAAGAGAATCAGAACGAATTAAAGGAGGAGGTGACTGACGTAAGTCCAGCTTTTTCTCTTTCTCTGTTCCTCATTACAGTTGTTACTGTTTGGAATTTTCTTTGTTTGCTATCTAATTGCATCATCTCTTGGTAATGCCTCTTTGTTTGTGCCTGGTCCGACTCTGAGAATAATAATTCAGGTGTTTAGGTCCCCACTAAGCAGAATTTGTTAGCTATGGAGAGGCTGTTTGAATACTCTTTAGAAAGAGTTTTAGCAAAAAAAGAAAAGGCACATTAAGTAAGAAGACTTAATCAAGGTTTTTGTTTAATTTTTATGTGAAGAATGTTTAGACTATTTTAAATTCCAAGAACTTTCTATAATAGACATTGATTAGTAATCTTAACAAGATGATAAGTACCTTTTACAAATGATTAAAGAATTTTGATAGTGTTAAACTTTACAGTGTCGGAGTTAAAATTTGTTTATCAAGATAATGTGCTTAGTTTCTTCATAAGTCCATTGTTCACATCTTTGTATGAATTCTTCTTATCAAACCTTGGATGTTTTAGCTGTTTTGTCGAACATGTAAGAGATGTGACCTAGATATCTTAAATTTATTTGTTGGTAGTAACCTACGTGTGTAAGGTGAAGTTAGAATAACATCAATTAAGAATTTTGTAAAAACAGGATTTTATGTTCTGAAACAAATTGCAATAACTTTGAAGGGAATATAAAATAAAAGTAGAAGAAGAGGAATGCATCCTGTGATGGGCTTCTTTCCTCTCTTTGCTAGTGGAACATAACAAGTAGCACTGTCCCAGAAACCTTTTCTATTCATATTTCATTTTAGAGGCGGTAGAAGGGCTGAAGAGCGATGTTGTAATGGGAGGTGCAACGGAGCTCATCCAGGAATAATCCTTCTCACTTATCTGCCAAAAGGAATGTTTTTCATTAGGTTTTGATGCTTTGTTCAAAGTGCATGTCAAACACCAAATGTGATGGCAGATACTTAAAGGAAATTGCCGTGGCCAAATTTTATTAAACAATTAAAGATGCTTATAAGCTGTCCGTAGTATAAATAGGCAATACAATATTAGCAGTTAACCGGCATCAGAACAATTACAATTGTCTAGCCTTTTTCTTCCTTTTTGAACAATCATATATCTTTCATCAATAATTATCACTAAATACACAATATAATGTTAGTAACTCACCTTCATGCAGGAGAACGAGTAATGCTATAGAATCACTGGCAGCCTAAGTTGTGTTGGTTGATCTAATTGCAAATATATCTAAACGACTAAAATACACGAGGTTGTGCTTCTAACGAGATCTTCTTGTAGCCTACTAGCAAGAACTTGTACTCTAAAAGACTTATTGCTTACTGATGTTGCTTCTTTTTCCTAGAGTCGAGGGTCTATTGAAAACAATCTTTCTACCTTCTCAAGGTAGGGGTAAGGCTGCATGCACACTACCCTCCCCAGACTCCACTTGTGGGATTGTTGTTGTTGTATAGGCACAGGGGAGGGAGCTCAGTAGGTTTTTGTCAGAGTTGTCTTCAGACTGGAGATAAATATGGTGTTGGTCATTTTCTATGCCCAACAAAAGCACTTAATTCATTTTACATCCATCTTCAGTTTGATATGTTGAGATCATATTGAACCCATGTATATCTGATTGCTACCTTGGTTTCATTATCTTTTCCTCTTTTTCCATTCTTTTACAGATAGCTCCTTTTGATCCTACAAAAAAGAAGAAAAAGAAGAAGGTTGTAATTCAAGATCCTGCAGATGACTCTGTTGATAGCTTGGCTGAGAAAACTGAGAATTTAACTGGTAGGTGAATTGTAAAACCCGGTTTCACCTAATTTTCCCCCATAATCTCGGGAGAGGTGATAGAGTATAATCCTCAAATCAACCCCCAAAACACGCACACAGACACATACATGTGCACACATACTTTCTGAAGATAAAGACTACCGAAGAAAATGTGAACCTTGAATGTGATTTATTTCTCATTGTTTTGCTATGCAGTTTCTGAGGGCCTTGATGCTACGTTTTCTGGTAAAAAGAAGAAGAAGAAGCCGGTTAGTTTTGCTCAGTCCCATATGCAAAATATTGATTGATTTATCAGTGAATACCTTACACCCTCATCTCATTTTCCGGCACTAACCCCTTCTTGAAGAAACACCAAGGACCAAATGATGCAACCAAAAGATGTTATGTTTATTAGGATATGGGTTAGAGGAAGAAGATGGGAGTGGAGGGATGACCGAGGGAAGCTTGAAGAGTTGGGGATGTTGAAACGAAAGACAATTGTTTGATTTCTTTGTTATTTGTACCTCAAGAGAAAGCTATTTCATACTCTTCGAGCACCAAAACATGGCCAGTTTTATTATTAGATTTGACTAAGGGGTTAAAGTGCCACAGAAATAGTTAAAGGCTTAATTTTTTGACTTGAAAATGTTTCAGTGAAATTCACTAAATGATAGGAGACAACATGAGTATTTTTCTTGAGAGCCTATGTACCCCTGAACTATTTTAAAATTGTGCAGGCACACACTGATCTCCTGAGTGATGAGAAGGAAAGTGTCGGCGAAGATGTGGAAGGTGAGATCTTGTATTTTCAGCTTGATTGCTGAGTTTAGCTGTGGTAATATTTGAGATATAACCCGCTCTCTTCTTCTAGATCACCTTGGAGATGATGAAGCTGCTGGAGAAATTGTCCTACAACAATATCCTTGGGAGGGAACTGATCGAGATTATGAATATGAGGAGGTATTTTATCATTTTCTTGTATTCTTCTGCATATATCTGTTAAGAGACTTTCAGAGTGCACTGATTGCCCCCGATAATAGGTAGGTACTTCATGCATGAACTTGAACTGGGTAATAATGCATACCTGCCAACCTCACAACACTACTCTTAGGTGTATGATTGAAAACCTTGTGTAACCAAGGCAACATAAGTTTTTAAATTGTTGGTAAACATTGGGAATACTTGGATTTATCTTATGCCCATGTAAACTTTCTCATGGTGAACTAAATGAAGCTAAGGCATGTTTCCTTATCAATAAAAATAAAAAAGGCTAAGACATGTCAAGTTCAGGGGCAGTTTAAATCTTTATAGGTTCTAATGTGAGAATCTATGGTAGGACTAGGAGTAGATTGACAAAGAGGGAGGTTGACTGTACTCGTTGTACTTCTTCCTGAAGAGGTTGCCTGCTTGATTTGCATTAAAGCACTAGTGTATAGATCTGATTGTCGTATCCTGGTGCACACAACTGGTTTGCGTTTAGGATTTTTGTTAATGGCAATTGATTTTCACTTTTGATTCTGCAGCTTCTGGGTAGAGTATTCAACATTCTCCGCGAGAATAATCCTGAACTTGCTGGAGATAGGCGTAGGACAGTTATGAGGCCTCCTCAAGTTCTTCGTGAAGGCACAAAGAAAACTGTGTTTGTGAATTTCATGGATCTTTGCAAGACGTAAGTTTTTCGTTCACATGGTTCTCTTTCCTTCCTTGTAACACTTGCATCATTTTGTGTTGCCACACTTTCCTTTTTTCTAAATGTTTTATGTTCAGCATCATAGATGTGTATATTTCATTTGTTTTTTACGACATGCACCGTATGCTAATTTGCTTTAGTAAGTTAGAACTTGTACACATTTTAGCACCATGCAAAGTTCCTCACAGCTAGGAATTGCTTGTACTTTATTATTGATGAGTAGTGAGTAGTGACCATCATATTCACCATATAAATCGTATTTATTACATTGCTACCTTTTAATGACCAGGAATTGCCATTACCTTTTTTATCTAGTTAAGAATATGTAATTTGCATATAGACCTTCATTTTGATTTGCCACATGGCTTTGATGCTGCTTCACCATTTCTGATACCCTGCTGCTGTGTTCTTGAGATAGGTAATAAATCAACTAGGCGGACTAGTTTTCAAACCAGTATTTTAAATTCTCGTACTCTTTAGAAAGTGGAACGTGAACACTTGGGATGCCACTTTGAGATGCTACTAAAAAATGCTCAAAATTTGTTTGACTTTCGAGATTTCAACTTATAATTGCACTCTAAAATTATCACTTTCTGTAAAAGCCACTCTATGCATCATTATACCGAAGTCGGCTCAAGCATCACACTCTTGGCATGATGAGATTCTTGGTGTGCTGAAGTAGCCTTTAGCTGTACCTGTAGTAACCGGCTCTATCTACAATTTGTTTGACACAATTGTATTTGGTGTGAACATTAAGGATTGAGTTTGAAGAATATAGTATTATTCGAGGTGATCGAGTTTAGGTGTTGAGTTTGGTTTTAGAAACTTGGTCAGTGTTTAAATTCTGATTCTTTATTGAAGTTGGAGTCTGAAACTTTTCAACGGTGCATGACGTCTCATGATTGGTAGTAGTGTGTTAACCACTTTGGATATAACCAATGGAAGTAATCATTGGGTTTTCAGTTATTTTTGGATAGAATTATCGTTCCCTCATTGCACTGCTTGAATAACTGTTTCCTATTTATAGGATGCATAGGCAGCCAGAGCATGTTATGACTTTCTTGCTGGCTGAAATGGGGACTAGTGGATCACTTGATGGGCAGCAAAGATTGGTCATCAAGGGAAGATTTGCTCCAAAGAATTTTGAAGGAATCCTCCGGCGATACGTCAGTAAGTTCCTGTTGTCAATCTGTGATCTATATGCAGCTATTCAGAAACAGCTTTCTTCCTCACATTTTTCTTATTAATGGTGCTATATTATGCCCTTCTGCATCCTATGAACTATAATATTACAGCCTTCGCTCAGCGACTTACTTTTGTTTTCAGATGAGTATGTCATTTGCAATGGATGTAAAAGTCCAGATACTATCCTTTCTAAGGAGAACCGTCTATTCTTCCTCAGATGTGAGAAGGTATTTTCTTTAAGAAGGCGTTATGTTTACTATCTGCATTCAATCTTACATTTCTGAATATAAAAGTATATCTTTGTAATTTTTGCTTCAATTTTTCTTCCATCAGATAATTTGAAAATAGACTATGTGGCAGATGATTGTTTTGGTATTTTAATTTTTTTATTCCCTTCCAGACCATGGGATACAGGATGTGTACAGTGTAGAAACTGTTCCTCTTTGGGCTTTCACAGATGCAAGTGCCTGCTGCTTCTTGGCTACTTGTTAGGCATCCTGTGATGGAACGTGACCGTATCATGTTGTCAGATCATACGCCTAAGTAATATGAGAGATCTCAGGCCTACCACTTATCTGAATTTTATATTGGGTTTGCTTTTATTGATTGAATTGTTTATGCTTTTGATTTTGTGAGTTCTGATCTACCCTCAACAACAACCCAGTGTAACCACAAGTGGGCTGATCTACCCTCAAGAATATTATTATTTTTACTGTATAATATTGGCTTGAGATGAGCTTATATGGAGTAACATGGTCAGTGAGGATTCATATAGCCTAGCCAACCCCAAACTTGTTTGGGACTGAGGCGTTGTTTTTAATGCCCTCAAGAATGCCATAGTATTTCTATTTCTCTTTGTAACCCGAAAGAGAGAGGAAGAATTGTACAACTGCTTTTTACCTCAAAAAGGAGAAGGAAATGATTGCTTTCGTATTTCCAAATGATCACCTTTCAAGAGTTGTTCGAAATGTTCTCCTCCCCCTTGCTTTATCTTTATAAATTTGAAAAGGGTTATAGGGAAAGATTGAACTTTGGGGAACAAAGTAGCATTAAATTGTTTATTTCTGTTCTAAAATCGGTTTTGCTTTAATTTCTTGCAGTGCGGTTCTGGAAGATCAGTTGCTCCTATCAAGGCTGGTTTCGTTGCTCGTGTTGGCAGGCGGAAAGCTGGGACTTAAGCCGGCTTTGTTAAGTTTTGTATGGTATGCTTTGTGTTTAACTGAGAGATGATATTGACATGTGGTGCAACTTTGCTTATGAAGAGAGCTAATCTAGATTCAATCTTACACGTTTCGATATACTAACATATACAATGACTTGATTTGATGGCATAGCTTCCATTATATAAAATCTATATATGACTTAAAGCTATATAAAAAATAATCTAAGTCACATTTTTCTCATATCAAAGTATGAAAGATCAAAAGTAAACATGTTAATTATCGATCACTTCGATTGATTTTCGGTTACTACCTTCTCCTCCTTGAAAGTTGATCATCACTTAAGTACTCTCGTCAAACATATGAGTTTTTAAAAGTTAAGTCTTTGCTTACTGTAAGGGAAAAAAAAGATGTACTCAGAGTTTTACCCTCCCAAAAAAAGAGGGTGAAATTCAAAAATAGGTAGATTTACAAGTGGTAATTTAAAAATAGTCACCGTTTCAAAAGTAATCGAAATTTAGTCACTTTTTGTGTAAAGATAAATTTGAACGAAAATATTGTTCAAAATCCGAAAAATATTGTAGCATAATATACTGAAGTTCGAATTTTTACACGTGAACTTCCAGTATATTATGCTGTAACTCCACTATAATATATTTTATTGGTACAAGAAGAAATGACCCAAAGAGTGAAAAACTTAGAACAACGGTTGAAAAACATGCAAGGGTTGGCAGGTCAAAAGAGTGTTGCCTTCAAAGATCTATGCATGTTCCCAATGTCCACTTGTCGTCTGGTTTCAAGACTCCCAAATTTGAAAAGTATGATGGACATGGAGACCCTATAGCCCACCTGAAAAGGTATTGCAATCAATTGAGAGGCGCGGGAAGAAACGAAGACTTGCTGATGGCTTATTTTGGGGAAAACCTTACGGGAGTAGCATCCGAATGGTTTTTAGATCAAGACACGTCTTGCTGGTATGTCTGGGATGACATGACACATGCCTTTGTCAAACAGTTCCAATACAACATCGACATTGCCCCAGACAACATTTCCCTTTCAAACCTGAAGAATAAATCAAGTGAAAGTTTCAGGGAATATGCCATTAAATGGAGAGAGCAAGCAGCTCGAGTCAAGCCACCCATGGATGACCACGAGCTAATCACTGTCTTCCTTCAAGCGCAAGAGCCAGATTAC